GCGCCGCTGCACTCTAGCCTCAGCAACAGAGCAAGACCCTGTCTTAAAAAAAAAAAAAAAAAAAAAAAAAAGGCCGGGCGCGGTGGCTCACGCCTGTAATTCCAGCACTTTGGGAGGCCGAGGCGGGTGGATCACGAGGTCAAGAGATTGAGACCATCCTGGTCAACATGGTGAAACCCCATCTCTACTAAAAATACAAAAAGTTAGCTGGGCATGGTGGCGCATGCCTGTAATCCCAGCTACTCAGGAGGCTGAGGCAGGAGAATTGCCTGAACCCAGGAGGCGGAGGTTGCGGTGAGCCGAGATTGCGCCATTGCACTCGAGCCTGGGTAACAAGAGCGAACTCCGTCTCAAAAAAAAAAAAAAGATCCCAGCACCTCCTCGACTCTTCCCCTTCCTTTCTCACCGTGGGATCTCTGCACAGGCCAGCTCCCCTTTACTTCCCACTGTGAAAAGAAGCAGCCTGAGACCCTCACCAGATGCAGATGTCCAATTGTGAACTTTCTAACCATTTGAATTGTGAGCCAAATAAACCTCTTTTTAAAAAATATCATTTCAATAGTTTTGGGGGAACAGGTGGTTTTTGGTTATATAGATAAGTTCGCTAGCGGTGATTTCTGAGATTTTGGTGTACCTGTCACCCGAACAGTATACACTGTATCCGATGTGTAGTCTTTTATTCTTCACTTCCTTCCTACCCTTCCCCCCAAGTCCCCAAAGTCCATTATTATCATTATTACACATTTGCATCCTCATAGATTAGCACCCTCTCATAAGTGAGAACATATGCTATTTGGCTTTCTATTCCTGAGATACTTCACTTAGAATAATTAAATATCTTCTTCTTTATAAATTATCTAGCCTTTTTTTTTTGTTTGTTTTGAGACAGAATCTTGCTCTGTTGCCCAGGTTGGAGTGCAATGGCACGATCTTGGCTCACTACAACCTCTGCCTCCCAGGTTCAAGCAATTCTCCTACCTCAGCCTCCCGAGTAGCTGGCATTACAGGTGCCTGCTACCACACTCAGCTAATTGTTTGCATTTTTAGTAGAGACAGAGTTTCACCACGTTGGCCAGGCTGGTCTTGAACTCCTGACCTCAGGTGATCCACCCGCCTTGGCCTCCACCGCCTCATGCTGGCATTACAGGTGTGAGCCACTGGGCCCTGTCCGGGTATACCTTTATAGTAACACAAAAAGGTGAAGATAGTCACATCTCCTACTACTTACTGACACTCCTGCCTACCTCTTACAAAGACTCTTGGAAGTACATGGGGACCATCCAGAGAATTCAGGAAAGATCCTTAACTTAATCACACTCTGAAAAATCCCTTTTGCCATATAAGAAACATTTATAAGTTTCTGGAATTAGGGCCGGGCACAGTGGCTCACACCTATAATCCCAGCACTTTGGGAGGCCGAGGCGGGTGGATCACAAGGTCAAGAGATTGAGACTATCCTGGTCAACATGGTGAAACCCTGTCTCTATTAAAAATACAAAAATTAGCTGGGCATGGTGGCATGTGCCTGTAGTCCCAGCTACTTGGGAGGCTGAGGCAGGAGAATTGCTTGAACCCAGGAAACGGAGGTTGTGGTGAGCTGAGATCATGCCATTGCACTCCAGCCTGGGTAACAAGAGTGAAACTGCATCTCAAAAAAAAAAAAAAAGTTTCTGGAATTAGGACATGAACATCTTTGAGGTACCCACCACAGATACTATTCCCGTCTTCTCCTCCCACAGTTGAGCTGTATGCCTAAGAATGGTTGGCTGGGTTTGTTTCTGGACTTGATTCGTGTTTGTTTTTGTAACTAATTTTAAAAATGAAGAAACCAATGAAATCTGAGGGCAAAATGAAAGACTTGTAGTGTGTATGGTAAACAAAGAAAATGAACTAAGGTAAGCCACTAAATAAATACGGTCACATGGGGTATTTTGGCATGTGCCTGTAGTTCCGGCTACTCAGGAGTCTGAGGAGGAAGGATCGTTCGTATTCAAGTCCAGCCTGGACAACAAAGTAAGACACGATCTCAGAAAAAAAGTGGTCAAATTAGGTGTGGCCAGGAAATCTTTGAAAGTTTTAGAAAATAATGTACAACTCAAGAGGATTAAACAATATAAATAGGGATGGCTTGTGTAAGAAACAAGAGGCAGAACATTTCTCAAGGGAGATCTACTCAAACCAAAGGACTAGGCCCCATATCAAAAAATTGGCCAAGAAATGCATATTTAAGTGTTATGACATGTTTAAAGTAAGTGTGTTTAAATTATGATTTGCCTGCCTTAACCAACTTTTTGGGTTAAATAACCAATCTCTTACCTGTTCTGCTAAGAGGAATCCAGTTAAATTTGATTCGGGGTTTTAGAGGCAATACTGATCACTTAAGATGATAATAATTTGGCAGAAAGGTTTAATCAAGAGAGTGGAGCATGAGCTGCATCGTGAATGTTATGTGGGATCTGAACAGGTGGTTGGGGGTAAAAGCAAGGCGCGTGAGATGAAACAAACGACATACAGCTGTAAGGGTAGAAATGAGCAGGAACGATCACTTCCACCTACGAGGAAGAACCCTTATAACTCTGAGTGTGGATCTCATTCCAGCAGTATCAGCAACACCTGGGAGCCTGTAGAACTGCATGTTGTGTGAGAGGCGGGAGAGGATCAGACAAAATAACGAATGGGTACTAGGCTTAATACTTGGGTGATGAAATAATCTGTACAACAAATCCTCATGACACAAATTTATTTATGTAACCTGCACATTTACCCCTGAACCTAAAAGTTAAAAAGAATACATCTTTCTGAGTGCTGTGGCTCACCCCTGTAATCCCAGCACTTTGGGAGGCTGAGGCAGAAGGATTGCTTGAGCCCAGGAGTTTGAGACCCTCCTGGGCAATATAATGAGACCCTGTCTATGCAAAAAATACAAAAACTTAGCCATGTCTAGTGGCACATACCTGTAGTCCCAGCTGCTTGGGAGGCTGAGGCAGGAGGATCAATTGAGCCTGGGATGTTGAGGCTGCAGTGAGCTGTGATCACGCCATTGCACTGCAACCTGGGCAACAGAATGAGACCCTGTCTCAAAAAATAAAAAAAAAAAAAGAAATGCATCTTTCAGGCCTCAGCCCAGACACACTGAATCAGAATCTTCAATGTAACAAAACTCCAGGTAATTTACACATTTGAGAAGGGCTGGTTTAGAGCGAGCGAGAGTCTTCCTAAACTGCACTATAGAGTTAATGTGGTACATGTAAAACATAATGACAGCTGAGCTATTATGCAGCTGAGCTATGTGCCAGGCAAACTACCAAGTGCTTTGCAAACCTTGTCTTACTTAATTCTCAAAGATCCCAGTCTCATAAAATAGAATCGATCTTTATCCTCAATAATGAAACAATCTTCCCTGCTTTTTGCCATTGCTTTGGTTGAAGTTGGTATAAAGAATACATTAGTGTCTCAAAATCTCAAATAATTGCTTTTTGAAATTCAGCATGTAAAATATTTTGACATAATATTTTTTTTGCTCCCTTCATTGGCTGGGTTGCAAACTCTTACAGGTAGGAAGATCTCAAACTCCTTGATAATTTCAACCTATGAGAAAGAAAAAAAAACCACCAGGGGAAACTCAAAAGCATTCTGGTTAGGAAAAGGTAATAAACAAAATAAGATAAAATCAGGAAGAAATACACACTATTAAATGGAATTTGAAAGTGATAAATCAGATTGAACCAAATCTTGGAGAGTTTGCAATAAATTCTGGGTATTCTTACAGTGTTGCATGTCTCAGCAGTTTATGCAAAAAGGGAGGGCCAAACTCTCCCTTTCCAAAGAAGGCATTGAGACAGTCTGCCCTTTCCTTGCCCAGACTGGAAAACATGAAGTCCTTGTGCCTTCTTGCCCCTCCCTGAGCTCAGTGTTCATCCCACACCTAACAGGGTAGAAGGATACCATCACAGTCCTGATGCTGGGATGCTGGGTGATAGTGGAGCACAATTAGTATGCCGGTGCCTCACTCACTAGAGTGGTTTTCAGTACGCCTCCGGTTCTGACTAAGCTCCTTTCCACAAGATTCAGCCAGGCACTGTGGCACAGCCTGTAGTCCCAGCTACAAAGGAGGCTGCTGCACGAGTACTGCCTGAACCAGGGAATTTGAGGCTGCAGTGAGGGATTATTGTGCCATGCACTCCAGCTTGGGCAACATTGCAAGACACTAGTCTCTTAAAAAAAAAGAAAAAAAAAAAACAAGAAAGATTCAGTGGGTCTTCACCCACTTGCAGACAGAGGGTCACTAGAATAGTCAAGTGCTGGGTCCTAGTGCTCACGGCCACTATGCTAAATTGTGACAGGCATGGGGGCTACGGGGTTAGGAGGGCTGGGGTGGGGATGGGAGGGCATTCCTTTCCCTCAGGCTTTCACAGTGTATGTTTTGTATTCCAGAATCAGAAATCTGAGCGTAGGAAGAAGTGGGTTAGGCCTGGAGAAAGGAAAAGGAGGATCATGGTTCTCTGCAAAGAGCTGGAAGCTAAAAAGCTGTGTTTACTTACCAACCGGGACTCAGTGGGATCTTTGCCAGCTTCCAATACAGCCTTAAAAGTATATGAAATCCAAGAAATATTTCTGCAAAGCAAGAGATCTTCACTGCCTTTACTCTCTACCACTTGAAACCTTGCAGAGAGTGTAGTGTGTATCTAGTCAATATATTAAAAATTAATTTAAAAGTTCTATATATATATATCAATATTTAATACTGTTTTATATTATCTAAATGTTTTCCTAAATAATATCATTATATATATATTCTGAATCTTTCTATTCAGTGATGGATTATATTTAGATATTTATATTAATATAGGAAAACTCATAACCTGAATATATCCTGTGGGATCAAACCACTGACCCTTCCAGGACAGAAGAGACCTCAGGTAGTCAACTTCCATCAAGTGGCCCGTTGGTCTCATTGAGGAATGTGCCACATCAGGGCTCAGTGTCGGTCTCTGTTTCAGATATATCGGACCTTTGACAATGGCAGCTGCTGGATCAGTCTTGGTGAGTGTTGGAAGTATAGTTAGACCTCACTTTGCATGGTCCCAATTTGCACAAACCTTTGACTGTTTAGTTAAATCACACCAGAACCCCAACAACATGGTTCAAATTTCAGTTACAACAATGTTATTAACTGTGCACAATTACACCAAGTACAACCTCACTGTCAGCTCTTCAGCCCACAGACCACTATGCGAATAACAGATGCATATCACGATCGGTAACCAGTCACACCACTCCTTTCAAAGTCCACTGATGATTGGCCACTGCACATATGTTCAGTTCATACACAGAAGGCAAAGCGTGTAGTTGGGTTGCTGGTTTCCCTATGAATGAGGCCACATCTTGGTTTACAGTAATAGCTACTCAAAAGAGGAAATTGGCCAACCAAGATGAAAGTGCAGCAAAAAGTCCAAAAAGTGATAACACTGGAAGTGAACTTGAATCAGTTACAGAAAACAGTTCACTGTGAGAATGTGGATGCTGCATCATTCAAGAGACCCTAGATATGCAGCCAGAGGAACTTAAAAAGGCAAACTTAATTGAGGAAGGAAGTGTGGGGAAAAGCATGCCTTCTCAGAGGAAGTGAAGACCACATTCACTTCACATTGGCAGAAACTTCACATTGAAGCAACTCTTGGAGATTTTCATGACACTGAAATCACAAAGGATAAAATGTTGCTAGCAGATCCAGTCTTAGAATAATTCATCATGTCTGAGAAAAGATGCCCTCTCCATGTCGTAAGTTACACAACAAGAAGGTAAGCACTATCCATGTGACTCTTGCTGTTTTATTTACAATTTATTTACTCTATTTCTTTTCTTTTCTTTTTTTTTTTTTTTTTGAGATGGAGTCTCACTCTGTCACCCAGGCTGGAGTTCAGTGGCACTATCTCGACTCACTGCAAACTCCACTTCCAGGTTCAAGCAATTCTCCTGCCTCAGCCTCCGGAGTAGCTGGGATTACAGGTGTGCACCACCATGCCTAGCTAATTTTTGTACTTTTAGTAGAGATGAGGTTTCACCATGTTGGCCCAGCTGGTCTCAAACTCCTGACCTCAGGTGATCTGCCTGCCTCAGCCTCCCAAAGTGCTAGAATTACAGGCATGAGCCACCATGCCTGGCCTACTCTTGCTATTTATTCTGTATGTTGTTTATTTACGTAGAAATTTAATGTTTCTAATGTTTACCAATGTTTAAAAACCTTAGATAATATACATTTAAGAGTTTAATTTGAGCAAAGAACAATACACGAATTGGTAGCTCTCAGAATCAAAAGAAATTCAGAATGCTTTGTTGCAGCAGCGTGGGCAGTGAGCTTTCATGTAAAGGGAAGATGAAAGTGTACTTCTCTGGGTTAGGTGCAAAGACCCTAGTTAGAGGTTAGCTGGTGTTTTCTTATTGGTAGTCTTTAGTTTGTTTTTACTCTTTATGTTGGGTTCTGGTCTGCTTACCAGAAAGCACTAGGGTTGCCTCTGTCTTGTTAAAAGAAAAACTCCAGCTGAATTAAATTTCAAGGAGTTTAATTGAGCAATGAACAATTTGCAAATTGGGCAGCCCTCAGAATCACAGCAGATTCAGAAAGACTCCAGGGATGCCTTGTGGCTAGAATAAATTTATAAACAAAAAAAGGGAAGTGACGTACAGAAATCAGCAGTGAGGTACAGAAACAGCTGGATTGGTTACAGGTTGGTGTTTGCCTTATTTGGACACAGTTCGAACACTGTCTATAAGGGGTTGAAATATGGCTGCTGCTGGGATTGGCTGAGACTCAGCTATTGTTATAGGTGCATACACTCCTAAGTTAGGTTTTCAATCTTGTCTGCCTACTAGGCTAGGTTATAGTTTGTCCACGAGGACTCAAATCTAGAAAGAAGTACAAAGTCCTTCTCAGGCCATATTTAGTTTGCTTTAACAGTCTAATGCCCTCCCTGTTGGAATTTTTGTTAAGAACAATTATTCTCTGCTTTTGGTCAGCCTCTTACAAAAGACTGAACAATACTTAGGCATAGGCACCCCTCCCTGTCACTATCACAGGTAAGTTGCCTTTGTCTCTGGGGAACTCACGAGTCATGATGTCAGGCCCATTGAAGAAAGATTCCTTTTGTCGTTTACATCATTACTGCACTCTGATCAAGGTGAGAGCATCTCAGGTACCATTGATACCTTTAAGACAGAATACAGCAAACCAGGGAGATTCCAATGATGACCATCAGGAGGGTAATACCAAGAGACTGGAATGTGCTCCTTAGCCAAGGTCCTCATGAATCAAAACAGCTAAAATCAAATAAATCAAGAAATGACCCAGAGAATGACCCAACATGTTTTAACCAGGTGGCCTATTTGTTAATTTCTTGTGATTGAATTTCTAATACCAGAGGTATTTATCCAGGCACACAATAGGAGAAACAGGATAAAATGGGCTTATTGCATAGACTCTTCAGTGTTCAGCCAATAGTCCAATGCAAGCCTATTATCTAAAACTACTTGAGTAAGATAATTCAGGTATTTTTTGTTGGATAGGTATAGCCTTAGCTGTAGAATGTGCAATAGTAACTAATGTCAAAGAAAACTTTTTGATCATTATTCATTTGTAGTCATCCCAAGCCGTGGGAAAATGGACCTAGCATACGATGCCCCTGTGGCAGGATTACCATCTTCTGGTCAGTTTCTTTTTAATCTATACTGCGGGTTTAGAGGGGTGGACCAATATTTAGCTTCTGACTGGTTATGTAGTGACAACGGCACCATTAAAATCCCTAGTCCCCATTGGCCTTTCATTCTCTATCTGTCAAGGTATGGGGTGCCCCAAGCATATGGCTAACAGTTAAATTCTCAGCTGATAAAGATGTACCTAGGACATTCCTGAAAGCCTGGGGCTTGTTTGGGGGGACGGGGGAGAAGATGTATATAGGGTGAACAAGATTCCTCCTTGGGAGAATTCGGTTATGGAGTAATTAGTTGGCATCAGCAGTTTCTAACCAAGAGACTGATACTGACTTATGATGTACTAGAAGGCTGCCAAATGCCCGTGTCGATAGGCATTCTTGCAAATAGGTCTGTTAACATTCTCCTTTTTGTTAACAGGAGCCTCCTTGCAATATGGTCAGCAGACCTGGCCATCCTATTCCATGGTTGGGTTAAACAAGAAGTAAGAGGAAAGGGGTCTAGAAGTTTAACTCTATAGAAGGGACCAACAGTATAACCTAAACAGATTGGTGCATTTGGGATTCTGGCAAATTCAGTCACAAGATAGACTAAAAGGGCTCTAAAAATTCATGCAAGTGTTTTGACTTAGCATGGACAATCTGGAATCTACCTAAACTTTCTGCAGAAGCTATAGACTGTGAGATTCTAATTATGGCGTTATCATGCCATACACAGATAGAAAGGAAGAGTACGAGGCAGGAGAGAAAAAGAGAACAGGGGTTCCATGACAGGAAGAGAAGGTTCTTGATCTCTGATCTTGGGAAAGCTGTCTACATTTAAAATGCCATCTGCTTCTTGGGCGAGATGTTCCTGGTCAACTTTAGGTGGTCCTAACTGGTGTTCAGTTCCAAGAGTCTGGAAGGGCTCTCTTGAGTTGAGAAACTTTGGTCCAAAACTCAAGGCTTTACTGCAGTGTAAGTGGTGAGAAGTTGGTGTGGTCCCTTCCAGTGAGACTCCAGGGCAGACATTCTTTGGTATCAATTCCAAAAGACGCAGTTTCCACGTTTTAGACCATTGACTTCTGATCATCAATCAGTGGCAGTGTATTTCCATCACCAATAGCTACTATTGCCCGATGGAAATACAGTAAGTCCTCAATCAATGTTGTCATCGATAGTTTTTTGGAAACAGTGGTATTAAGCAAAACAATCTTCCTTGAATAATGTGTTTCATTTTAAGAAAAATAAAATTTGTTTTATTATGCATTGTTTTGCTTAAAGTCACACTTTCCAAGAGCTGATCAATGATGTTGTGGAGACTTATTGTATGCTTCAGCATAATTTATCAAGGTCTGGCTATATTGAGTCATACCACAGGTTACAAATATGGAGCTCTATTATTAAGGGCATAGGTCTTCCAGTACTATTTCATAAGGCACCATCTTGAGCTTTGCAGTATGGGTACATATAATTGCCATTAAACCTAGTGTTAAAACTTTTGGCCAGGAAATCCAGTAGATTCCATCATTTTGGCCAATTTTAAGATACAATTTGTCCATTCAGCCTTTCCTGAAAACTAAGGATAAGGACAACGATCATGCTATTTTGTATGAAAACTTTAAAAAATTGTTTAATAATTTGTCCAGTAGGCTGGGTGCGGTATTTCATAACTGTAATTCCAACACTTTGGGAGGCTGAGGCAGGTGGCTCACCTGAGGTCAGGAGTTTGAGACCAGCTTGGCCAACATGGTGAAATCTCGTCTCTACTAAAAATACAAAAATCAGCTGGGTGTGGTGGTGCATGCCTGTAATTACAGTTACTTGGGAGCCTGAGGCAGGAGAATCACTTGAACCCAGGAGGCGGAGGTTGCAGTGAGCCGAGATCATGCCGCTGGACCCCAGCCTGGACAACAGAGTGAGACTCTGTCTCAATAATAATAATAATTATTATTATGATTTCATTATTTACCCAGTAAAATGAGTTCCCCTGTCACTGGAAATCTTTCTAGGGATATCCCATAAAGGAAACACATTCTCTTTTTTTTATTTTTGGTTGTTTTTTTTTTTTTTTTTGCTAATGTTGTGGCATCAGCCTTCCTGCATGGCAAGGCCTCAGTCCGCCCTGAGAACAGGCATACAGTTACAAGAACATACTGACGGCCACTGAGGGTGGCAACTAAATGAAGTTCTTTTGTACGTGTTCGCATGGTCCAGCCGGTGGTAGAGATGTACTGCTTGAAACGTTAATGTTTTTCACAGAATTATGAATCTCATAAATCAGACATTGGTTATAAACCATTGTTGCAACTTTAGAACAATTACGTCACCAATCCTTTTTCATAATTTGAACCACTTTGTCTACACTATGGTGAGCTGTGGAGTGTAGAGTCTTAATACTGGTAGTTTTCAGGACTTGGGGAGGACTAGGTGGCTGTTAGGGCCCTCGCTGAGTTCACGTTTAGTATTTGCATCCTTTTAAGTGCCCATTTTGTTTTTCTAATTCAGGTACATAGAATCATTTATTGAACAAATTGTCATAGGTTATTTGATCTGAATTAATCTTATGGAGTTCAAACAAATTGCATATCCTAACACATTTATTGCCAGCTACCTTAGTGTGGAAGTTCACTAAGCATTTTCTTGATATTCAGGTGCATTTTACAAGTGAGCTTCAATTTTAATAATAGCAACTTATGAGGGCAGCAAAAGAGCCGAAAGAAGCTCATTTGCCTGGGGCCCATTTTCAGTGGTGGACACACTAGAAGTGAGGAACGCTCTTTGCTTCTAAAACATGCCAAAATAATGGACTACCCCAAAGGCTTACCTACAGTCAGTATAAATGTTGTCTGATTTGCCCTGAGATGTTTGACAGGTCTGAGTGAGAGAATGTAACTCTGCTGGTTGGGTTGACTTCAACTGGGGAAGAGCTCCCTTTTCTGATAATTCATTCTGGGTAGTCCTGGCATGTTCTGCTTGGTATTTTGCTTCTGTATTTTTAGCATAAAATCCATCAACAAAACGTAGTATCTCAAGGTATCTAATGGCCATGTTATAAATCAATAGCTGTGATACGAGATTTACATAGTTGTGGTCCTCACCTTTGTCAGGTAAGG